GTTTTCACAAAAAAAAGACTTAATGGTGGTAGGACAGTTTATCTGTATTTTCTATGGTTTCGGATTTCAACATACTGTCCCATTTAACAAAAACACTGTATACCTCTAAACATCATGCCTCTCTCCTACTATCTTTTCCGCTCCATCCGCTCTGATGCGAGTCTGTCTACAGCCGATCCGAGCCGATCTACATACACGTACGTTTTTAAACCGATTTTAAAAAAGGAGTGGGTCTCAATTCTTTTTTTATTACTCTTTTTAAATACTCCAAAATTTGTAAACCGATTTCTATGATTCTTTTTTGTTGGAAAGGGGGTACCTCAATAACTTTTTTTCCCCCCGGATTTCTGAGCCGCTAGTGACATCTAGGGAGAGATTTTAGAACCCTCTCCACCGCAGACAGCATTAATAATCATAATAAAAACTTGTGGAGTTGTTTCACAAAAAAAATTGTATAATACATTTTAAGGTTTTTTTAATAGAAGAATCTCTATTTGGTTGAAATACATAAGCTAAGATCAATTTTACCCTTTACTTTCTATATATTTCTTTCCAGTGTCGGGACGAACAAGTCGTGCGCCTGATGGCAAGTAACACGCCTGTTCATAACAGTTGCAGTGCCACTCAGAGCTTTAAATCGCAAAGATCTGAGAGGCACTGCCACTGCGCCCGTCACCCTGAGACATAAGTTGATAAGTCTCGTGTGTATGTAATTTCACCAGCACCCTTACCCTCAAAACCGGTAATTTAATATTTATTCTATTTCTAGAAATAGCGTTTCAAAGTCAGTGTTTCTTAATCTGATTGAAGTTTTAATAAGAAGCAATATTTTTAATTGAAAGAGATAGCGAATCGCACCTAGGGTGGTGATGGTGCCCGGAAGACTCTGTAGAAACGGAGGAAGCTCGTCGTAGGGGTGGAGGACCATCTAATTCGTTGCCATCCAGCATCTTCACTAGACTGTGCCTGTTAAATTAGACAAAAATAATAATTATAGTCTGCTTGAACATGGAATAAAATTACATTTTTGAAGAGTTGCCGGTTTTCATAAAATTTTAAATAGTTACGTAGTTGTTGTCGACAATTTTGTCGATAGATTTCGATTATAATTGTATTCTTCATTCATATTTAGACAATTGACCTACTAGTATCGAAATCAATTCATAATACTTTAAAATATGTCTCTTATTTGCATTTTTAATAGACATACTTCTAAATGCAGTGTATGATATGTATGAACTTAGAAAGATTGACAATTCAAATGAACGTGTGCCCAGCAGTTGGACGAATAATGGGCCGATGATAATTCAAATGAAACAAATTAGACTATTTATTGTATAAGCGTGATAGCGTAACGAATTGAAATTAGAACTTGTATCGATTACTGTCATATTTTAAGTACGTGAACGATTCAACTTATTATTAGAATTGAAAGGGTTTTAAAAATTACGACTAAATTAATATCTGCCTGATATAATTTCTGTATTGCAATGTATCAATACTAACATTTAAAAGTATCTAAATCCCTTTTTAAAAGAAATTTCAACCAATCAAGCATCGGCCTACCAAAAGCGTTAACCAATTTTATCACAGTCTGTTAACCCGCCAAAAACGGTGGAGCGAAGCTTGATGATATGGTTGCAGAACAAAATTTATTCAGTCTGTGTTTGGATTTTCTAGCCAGAGGTATACAGAGTACTGTGAATCACCCTGGTGACGTATATAAAGATTATTAATATATACAGGTTGGGTGGTGGAAGACCTAGAAGGTCGAGGTGGAAAGAAACTAAGAGTGTTAGGACGTGGTAGAGTGAGCAATGCAAGTGTAGTGTGAAGGTGAAGATAGGAGAAGCTGGAGACACGGAGTTGGAGGCCTCTGCCCTCGACTCTTGATGACTGAGGACAGACGTGCAGAACCGAAGAGCAGCGAGGTTATAAACTGGGTAGCGGCTGTAGAGCGGAACCAGAGGGCAGCGAGGAATGTTGACGAGATGGCAGTGGTAGTGCAGCAGTGGATTATATCACTTAGTACTCGGAGGTGGAGTTCTACTTCATCTTCAGCGTCGGCTTCAGTTACTCCTACCGCTCCAAACTCGCTTGGTGAAGGTGAGCGTAAAGCGTAAACGTGACCAGGTTTAGCGTGAGGTAATCGAGAAACTGGTCATCAATCAGGCGCGTGAGCGCGGCAGGAGTAAGGCCAAGTGTAGGGCTTCGAAAAGGAGAGACTTCGTATATTTACTAGATCTAGTGAAGACCAGATGCCTCCAAGGTCGAGCGAGAGAGAATCGAAATTCGAATAGCCAATTTTGAATTTGAAATGAGGAGCCAAAATGTGAGCACCCAGAAGCTTCCGCTTCTACTGCTAAGATTGCATATCAAAGGAAGAGTAATTTATAGGATAATCTATGGAAGAATAGACTATAGAGGAGTAACAGGTCTGTCAATCAATGTCAACATATAAAATTATTAAATACGAAATAAATATGTTTATAAAGTGAAATTGATGAAATAGTACGTAATTAGCATTGGAAAAACTAATAGCAAAATTCGGAGATACTATCAGTACGATAGAATATGCCAAGATCTGGAGATCAGACATGAAAAGTGAGTAAACTTTCAAGGTGCGAGAAATAGCTACTAATAGCAAATTTAAGTGATTTAGACACTAATATTATAGTAAATATTAGTTGGAACTCTGTCAGCAATCAGGAAAAGTAAGGGCGTTTCCTGAAAAACGTATAATGAGAGAGACGAAGATGATAGGGGTCCGTAGTTTCACACTACAAGGTATGTATAGTCTTTTTTTATTATGTAATTTAGAGACGAACTATTATTATATACTATTTGCTGAAAAGGTAATAAATAATTGAAAGTGAATTGTATTAAGCTGTTTCCTTTCGTGCCTTAGATGCTATACTTCGTTTCAACCCATTTTGAACAAAATGTAAACAAACAAGTCACTGACCCGATCATCGACGGTTTAGTGACAGCCAATTGTAATGACAGCTACAAATCGATTAATTAATTGAATGAACCAATTTGTTCAATTGAGTCATACTAGCGGTTTTCCTTACATAACATACCCATATATAACATACATAATATTAGCATATTTAAATTCAAATCCGAACCCGAATTCGAATTTGACCGGATCGAAGGAATTTTTTCTGAGTGTTCGATCTTTGTATTAATAATTATAACAAACTAGTGGAGTAATTTCACAAAAAATAATTGAATATCAATTCAATAAAAATTTAATTAATACAGTGAATAGCGACATCTCTCGCCAGGACTGGTAGCTGTAAAGGTACTAACTGGGTGATAAATCTGTAATAGATTTCTCATAGATGGCGCTACGACTAAAAAGTCGTTGAAAGACCAAGTACAAAGACACGACGCAAGCACATAGAAAAATTCGTGAGGTCCGTTGGTTCGTTCCGTGGCTTAGTTGGTATAGCGTCTGGCACGGTATGCAAGAAGACGTCGGTTCGAATACGACCGGATCGAAGGAATTTTTTCTGAGTGTTCGATCTTTGTAGTAATAATTATATTTAAATTCTCCAAAATCTTAATTTTAATTCCTCTTTCAAATAGTTACACTTAGATACTCGTTCGATTGCGATTGAAATATTCGATTTACTAATCAATTACAAGAATTTTAATTGAATGAACTGAATGTTTTTTTTTCGTACAACACTATGCAACCATAGACAAGTCATAGATGCATAGATGAAAAGTAACCTCACTTTCGGACCACCATTTTTCAAATACGATTTAACAATGCTATTCAAATGAATATTTTTGGGAAAAGTGATGATAATATATCAAGTCGAAATCTTCAAAAGATACGTGAAAGTGTTACTCATGCGATTTATTGCGTGATTGCTTTAGAAATTTAACCAAACGATTTTTTGTTCAAAATGGGTTGGAACAGACTTTACCTTAATTACCTAAGTCTTTAGTCGAGAATTTGATTACAAGCGTAACCAACATTCGGTAGCCGATAGAATATTTATCGACTGCAATCACTAGCTGCTTGTAAGCGGGCAACACTTGCGCAATGAACGAATGAATTTGAAGAAAAATGAATTTTATTCCATCTTCGAAAAATACAGACTATAGTTGTTTGTTTGTGTTTATAGTCTGTTAGTTTATAAGGCTTCAATAATTAATGTCATTGCAGATAACTATTGGCCTAAGCATGGCCTAAGTTACATAAGATAAATATTGTTCTCCATGAGATATATTTATGTTGGCTGTAACGAATCAATTTCCTTCTTAAAATTTACAATGCAGTTCAATTTCAGCCTTGCTTAAATGCTGAGTTTTTTCATAAATAATTTCTTTTACAGATAGCAAATGAATCAATGTAAAAAGTCCCTAGCGCCATCTAGGGAGGGCGCAACGTACTTCGAGCTGGCAGAGCAAATGTCTCTATGTGACTATACTGTACCAAATAAGATTCAAAGGTGATTTTTGTTTATCTCGTTTCATCATAAGAGCCAAAAACAATAATTAAAGGTCGACAAATCGATTTGCTTTTCAGAATTAAAATAATTTCTGTCTTGTACGAAAAATAAAAAGTGATTAGGGCCACCTACAGAGGGCCCCTACATACTCCAAACTAGCAAAGTAAATGCTTAATACCTCCTGCTGAGGGTGACGAGCGACTGCCGGTGCTTGGAGTGACGCGACTTGCCCGTGCGCACATTGATCGCCGCGAAGTGGTTTTGGATCGCGATGCCCACTTCCGGGCACATGTCTTCTTCCACCTGCGACAATATATCACAGTTCGATTACGGGGAACGCTTACAAAGCTATGTAGTATATATACGTAAACACTATAGCTCTTTCACTCATCGGGGTAGGTAGAGACTATGGACCTCCAGGCGCTACACGCCTGACATACCCGTTTTAATTATAGTAGAGCTCCTTGTGAAAGAGTTCGTCGAGGGCACTACTGCCATCTTACCTATTTCTGCTACCAAGCAGTAATGTTAGCATTACTGCGTTCCGGTTTTTGAAGGGTAAAGGTGTTGGTGAAATTACAGGCACATGGAACTTGTCACATATGTCTCATGGTGACTGGTACAGTGGCAGTGCCCTTCAGATTTTTGCGATTTAGAACTCTGAGTGGCACTGCAACTGTTATGGACAGGCGTCTAGTTTACCATCAGGCGCATGACTCGTTCGTCCCGTCACTTGATATCATAAAAATCCTTTTTACTTCCTAATCTAACCTATTCATTTGTCCCGGGTTAGGTTCCCGGGCCGGGAGAAATATTTGTATGGTCTACATTTATTTCTCTCATTAGTTTGGGTGTAAATTGAAATTGTCTATGTGTGTGGCCATGGTACCCGCGATACTGGGTTTCCTTAGTGTGGGACTATGAGTGCATGTGTGTGCGTTAAAAATGTGCACACATCTGCAAAGGAATTTAATGAAGTTCCCAATGTGCATTGGATCCGAATGGGAACTATTGCCCAAGCACTCTTGATTGTATGAACTATATTATAGGCTAACTATATATTTATTTCCATTTATTTTATTTACTTTAGATTTACCATTAGTAACACAGTTATTTGTATTTGCTATATTTTAGTTTTCAAGCCTCAGTTCTGGCATCATGAGTATATTGCGTTTCTCAACTAAAATGTATGGAGTTCATCAAGGCACAGTTATGGTGCCAATAAGTAATTATTGAATGCTGATTATGGCGTTCCCCAAGGTATAGTTCCAGAACCATTATTTTACTATATGTACGTTTTATACTTACCAACACTCTACACTTCGGCAGCATAGTAAACCCATCGTTTCCTGCGTGTAAATACTGTTTGATCGCCAGCCGGTACCTCTGCTCCCTTTGCAAGTATTCATCTCCAATCTTCACTACTTGTTCCGCTACTCTTTCACCAGGGGGTTTAGATGGATCGAACGCGAAGGCTATTCCTGCTACCTGTAATTTTTTATTACTTCAGTCTCTATTTGCATAGAGAAAAGGTTGGCTTTCAAATACAAAATTGTGCAGTCTCGACCATGTTTTGCTGGCTAAGTTGTTTCAGAGTGATAAAAATAAGTCACTTTAAGAATATATACAAACTAAAATGGCTTTGGTTGATTCCTCATTGACACTGAACAGTGAAAGCGTCGAGTCAACACTTTGGAAAAAAATAATATAGTAAAATTGAGGATTGCTACTGATTACTACTTGGTGTGAAACACAATTCCTAAAAATTTTCACGATAGAAAATAAAACACAAACTTACATATAAGTACCAATTATTTTAATTTTAATTTATTAGACGAACACAACAGTCGACATCCAAAATAGATTAACACATTAATAGTCGACATCCAAAATAGATTAACACATTAATTTGTTTAAAACTACTTTGATTTAAACTTTCACGATTTTTACACATTATTTGATTTCTAATTCGGGATTTAATCACGTACATATTTTATTTTATTTACATCGACGTTTCGGACATATTGCAACGTCCATGGTTTCGAAGGGACTGAAGAGGCGGGTGTCAGCATCTTCTAGCCGTGCGAGTTTTTCTAACTACTCGCACTTGATCTTCATTATTTATTTGTGCACTAGGGTTCTTACTAGACCGACACACAACACTCACGACATCCGGCGACTTGTCGGGCGATACTTGATGTCGTTTACACTTACTTGCTGATAACTGGATCCTATGACGATGAAAGCTTAAAACCATCTTCTCGGTTGAAATTACGGTGTTTTTTAATTTCAATAGCTTCACGTACGATTCTACTATAGTGATGACGTTCTGTAGAAAGGATCTTGGGATTATGAAGCTCAATCCAGTGGTTTGGTCCTGATTCCAGCAAATGCCCAGCTAATGCAGACTTATTGAGCAGCGGTTCTTAACAGCCGCGATGTGTTCTTTAACTCTTTCCGCTATGGTGCGTTTTGTCTGCCCAATATAGGAACTCCCACAACTGCAATTAATCCTATAAACGCCCGGAGATTGAAAGGGGATTACATCCTTAGGTGATCTGACATGCCCTTACCTTTGACCGTAGATGATGGCGTAAACACAGTTTTTATAGAGTACTTTTTTAGTACTGTACCGATTTTGTCCGTTATTCCTTTCACGTAAGGCATGAACGCTGGTTGCCTTAAAACGTCAGGACGTTTCTCTTTAGCTTTCCGCCGATCTGAGGCGGACTTTTTAAATACGTGACACTTAGAACAATATATCAACTAAACTAAATAGAACACGTATGGTATACGATACACATTTTTTGAAATAGCTTTAATTTCGTTTGTAAAAAATAATTACTGAAATAAAGCCGGTGTCCCTGTCGCTCGACGGAAGCAAAATGAATCGTATTAGTGCGGGAAACATATGAATTCGAGCTGAAGTAGTATTGACCCTTAAGTAAGAAATCTAAATAAATCGCGCGCATTTAAATCAAACGATAGAAAAACCAATCCAAAGCGCAGTGTTGCCACAATGCAAAAAAAGCGCTGTCGAAAGCAACATACTCAATGTTGCTAACATATTATTCATGTACCACGTGACCGACCACATGGCAATCCCTCCATTATGTTCAAATAATATATCGACCCCTCCTACGTAAAGTATTGTATGTCGAAATTGCCAAGTTTACAGTGGAGCGTTATAAAGTTCTGAATTCACTCGTTATTCACATAGAGTGATCATCTAATAGACCATCTAGCTGATATCTAGAATTTTCTAATACTCTGTGTGAGTAAAGAGCTTTGCCGAATAAAACTGAGAAATGCTAAAGTCACGTGTTATACTCATTTCACTAAAATAAGAACTTTAAAACGCTCCCCTGTAAGCTTGGCAATTTCGACATACAATACTTTACGTAGCTTGAAATATCAGTAAAAATTGTTTCAATAATAAATCAAATGCATACTCGTGGTCTAATGGCTGGTTTACACGAGTTCAGTACAAAGTGGTAAGTAAAGGTACAGTTGATGCACTAAGATACCTGACCCTCAATTTTTTTGGTTCTGAAAACCTTCTTACGTATTCAACACAAAAATTGTAAAGGATTTCCAGCTTTGGTTGAAATTGGCATTTATGTAATGTAGTTAAGTTATAAATTAAATTAAGAGGTAAAATTAGTAAAAGTTTTAATTCTTTAGTATGTACAATTGCATTTTGTACTACATTAATAAAAAAAGATCCTTTTAAAAAAGCAGCCTGCGAGCATTAGGATATCCGAGAGCTTGGGTGGGGTTCGTGGGGAGTTTCATTAATCATACGATCAACACCACGCCACCCGTACGCTGCTCCTATGAAAGAATCTTACGCCTGTTCCAAAATTTAGCTTTTCATTTCCACCGGTTACAGTAATTAAAGGTTAAATTGACTTAAAAAGTTTCATAAAACTTCATTAATGCTGCGAATTAAGTTTGTTAAACACCTTTCTTTACACTCATCTACTCAGAACTGTTAGGGGGTCAGGTATGTCTTAGGGTATCGACTGTACATATCGTAACACATTTCGCACACGATAACAAAGTATCTTAAAAATTACTTTATATTATATTTTATCTCAAAAATTGCGTAATATATGTATGTCATTCGTTTACAATTTAATTTCAAAGTGACAGTCTTTGTCCTGTCACTTATCTATATATAGATCGAGTTCTTAGGTTAAGTTTTATTGAATGTCAGAATGTTTCACCATGATATTCAATTATTTTTTGTGAAATTACTCCACTAGTTTGTTACAATTACTAAACAGAATCTAAATAGAACACTTAGCAGAAATTTATTTCGATCCGGGTGGATTCGAATCAACCGTGTCAAACGATATGCCAACTAAGCCAGCCAACCAACCAACGGATCTCACGAAATTTTCCACGTGTTTGTTGCAGATCTTTGTTTTTGGTTTTTAACAACTTTCTCTGTGAGAAAACTATGAAAGTTTTTCTTCTTTCGGGAGGTACCTTTACAGCTACCAGACACTGATTAGAGATGTCACTTTAATAATTGTAATTAAGTTTTATTGAATGTCAGGATATTTCACCACCATGATATTCAATTCTTATGAATTTTCAGGTTTTTGGGCTCTTAGATTACCGCAAATTGACCAGTTTATTAACGTGAGTTGTTGCCAGTCAGACAACCGCAAATTGACCAGTTTATTCACATGAGCTGTTTACTTGCTCAATGTCCTCTACAACAGGCACGTAAGAAACTAAAGACTTAAAACAGACTGGACGTCTGGCACGGTATGCTAGAAGACGTCGGTTCGAATCCGGCCGGATTGAAGGAATTTTTTCGAGTGTTCAATCTTTGTATTAATAATTATAACAAACTAGTGGAGAAATTTCACTAAAAAAATTGAATATCAATTCAATAAAAATTTAAAACACAGTGAACAGCGACATCTCTCGCCAAGTCTGGTAGCTGTAAGGGTATCTAACTAGGTGATAAAACTTTCATAGATTTCTCATAGATAAAAATTCGTTGATAAACCAAATACAAAGACGTAACAACAAAAACAGAAAAATTTGTGAGGTCCGCTGGTTCGTTCCGTGGCTTAGTTGGTATAGCGTCTGCCACGGTATGCTAGAATACGTCGGTTCGATCTGGCCGGATCGAAGGAATTTTTTCTGAGTGTTCTATCTTTGTATTAATAAGTATAACACTAAAGACTTACTTGTGGAAACCGTCCCTCCAAACTCGGATATTTGCTAACAGCATTCTCTAAAACTTGTAGCACAGTGGAGCCAGTCACCTCGACCACAACTAGAGGATCTCTCATGGGAATTATTGTCGATAAGTCGCGGAGAGTAAAATCACCGGCGGGGTGTATCTACAAAAGTAAATATCTGTTTACTAAATGTTAAAAGGCCATATTATTATTACAGATGAGTTATAGAAAAAAGTTGGAAATAAACAGGAGGTAGCTGCGCAATGGGGGGAGTGACAGTTTACGTAACAGTTATGTCGTGCTGCACACGAGATAATTTCAACAAGATTTTTCTGACGATATTCCATAACAAGGTTAAGGTTGCCTGGTAGAAATTGCTACTTAGCAGTAGGACCGTTTGTGTGGTCATTATAATTTTTCTTTAGAATTCATTCATTCAAGTTAATTGAAAAAAGTGCCAAATCGTCGTCTTACTTTTTCAGGGTCGTATTCCAGAACTCTACTCAATACGCAAGTCAGGACTTGAGTATTGCAGTGAGCACTGAAAATCATACTCAAGTCCTTGCCATTAGGGTCGTATTTCCAGTGCTTGAAATCATACTCAAGTCTCCTCAAATCCTGATTTGAGCATTGAGTAGAGTTCTAGAATACGACCCTTAAACTCGTATCTTAAACCACAAAGTAACTCAAATGCAATATTGCATTGTATATACAAATTTTACAGGCTGATTTCACATTACATTCCCTTCATATTCACACACTGACTTTTACCTATTCTTAAAGTAATGGATACAAATTAACAACGTTGATAAGTAATTTAAAATATATAGAAAGTTTTGCCATCTCCTGAATCTTTATAAGATATGTGTTTGAGAAAGTAAGGCATCGAAATTGCTTGTCTATTCATTTCTATTATCAATAATAATAACGCACACACTCATAGCCCCGCACTAGAGAAAACCCCTGTATCGCGGGTGCCATGTACACACACATAGGCAACCACAAATTACAACCAAACTCACGAGAGAAATTTGAAACAAAAAGTAAACAAGTCATTGACCCGACCGCGTATATAGTTTCCCGTGTACAGTACGTCTCTCAAGTTGAGACGAGTTCGGTACGCTTTTCTAAGGGTCTAAACAACAGAAATACCGTACACAGTATCTCCCCTCGAAGTGACGAATTGATACGCCTTTCCAGCTACCACATGAGTTTAAGCGATTAAAAAACCGTGTTTGGTAAGTCTATTAGGGGACGAATTCGATACGGGTTTCCGTAAGAACACTTGTAAAAAACGTCTCTGATTCATCACGTCGAGTAATTCCAGAATCAAAAACTCAAAGGTCATACATAGTTCAAACGAGATTGTCTCTTATTGTTTTAAGTAGACAGTGCAAAACGCAAATAATAAACATGGAAACTACCTCTCTCCATCTCACCTACACTACCAATAAACACCTACAAAACAGAAAACTCAAAGCTCTAATTAGTTGCGTGGTGATATTATTTTAACATTTAATTATTAAAACAACACAAAAACTCGAGTCACAATATCTACTGTTTTGACCAATTGTTTGTGTATGTTTTGTAAGTTGTGCTAAATAATATCAATAACAACTATTTCGCGCGAGTGCAGTGTCACCACAGTTCATTTCCTTCTTGCATATATTTTTACGTAATTCAGGGCATAACTTCTAATTAATATCGCTTGTGTTTGAGTTAAGATTATTTAAAATGGATGAAGAACGATTTACAGGTCTAGTTAGGAAACTTGTGACTGATTTTCAATTATTGAAGTATGAAGGAACGAATGACGAGAATTTCAAAGTGTCTACTATACACTTACCTACCATCACTTACTTAATTTCTATAGTATATTTTGTAATAGATTTAATGGATGACATTTAATTTTTGTCTTCGAAAAATTGTTCCAGACTGTAATAGCACTTGTTTGTTTCCTAATAAATTTATCTCGTATTTGATAAAAACTGTTTAAATATATAAATATTGATAATGATTAAATGTAATTGTATTCCTTTTAACTTTAATAAATACATAAATGCTATATTATAGCAGATATTTTGTTTGAGTAACATCAGAATAGTTACAGATAGTATTAGATGAATCAGAGACGCTTTCTTACGAGCGTTTCTTACGAAAAGCCGTACCTAATTCATCCCCTAGTGGACGTACTAAATATGGGTTTTTAATGGCTTAATCTTATACGGTAGATGGAAAGGCGTATCTAATTAGATACGTCGTTTTGAGAGGACATTTGGGTACGGTATTTCTGTTGTTTAGACCCTTAGAAAAGCGTACCTACCTCGTCTCTCCTTGGGGATGTACTGTATACGGTAAGCCATTATACGCGACCCGACTATAGACGGTGTGGTGATGGCCAATTTTACTGCCAATTACAAATCGATTAATTAATTGAATGGATCGATTTGTGTAATTGAGTCATATAAGCGGTTTTCGTTACATAACATATAAAAGCATATTTCAAAATTTCGATTTTTCGACTTACTAATCGATTACAAAAAATGCAGGACTGTATTTCGCTTATAAATATAATCTATATCAACATTACAACCACATCTTCTACAGGCTGTACTCAATTAGCTTTTGTGATGCTATGATAATGAATTACAAGTATTGATTGATTGGTCTCTTTAATGCACGTCGTCAAAAACACTGGGTCACAAAATACACGGGATGACGCCATCCTTCTTTCAAATTAAAGTACACGATATTTTGTGTATAATATTTAATCGTTTGATGTTGATAAGTCTCACCTGATCTGACCGGAAAGTGCCCGAGTTCAATATAACCAAGTCCGCCCCTGTAGCAGCGAGCAGAACATCACAAACCCAATTGCCGAGGTTGCATTCTTCACGTCGTATGTAGGAGAATCGGCCCTCAAGAGGTACGCAGAATTTGCCTAACACTTCGTCCATCTTGCCCTCTATCATTGCTACAAAACAAATATTTTGTATTAAAAAAAATGTCTAAAAATCTTAACATACAGTGTGTAGGATTATTTGATTTTAAAAATGCGAATTAAGGCGAGGTATTTTAAAGGGAGCCTAGATTTTAGGAGGTGAAGCGCCGATGGTGACTGATGGGGCAGGGGGTCCCGCTGGGCGCCGACTCAACCGGCGAGAGGGAAACCCGGGGGGGTTTTAGTGGGGTAGGCCCTCCAGCCTGGAGGGAGAGTCCCCACATAACCCCTGAGTCTCCCTGGGCTCAGGGGGATCCATAAAGATTTCCCCCCGACAAAAAAAAAAAAAAAAGGGGGTCCCGCTGGGCAATTTTCTAGTTTTGGGATACCTGATAATTTAATTGATATTTAAAGAGAAATATCTTCAAATAAAAATTATGTGCAAAGTTAGAAATTTTATTCTTAAATAATTCGTTTTATACTTCTATTTTAGCCTGTTTTTGGGATTTTGTACGATCGAGTAAAGTACATCCTATCGTGTAACAAGTTAGCACGTCTTTAGACGATCAATATCCTTAGATGAATCGTATATTTTTTTATTTTAATTAATAAATCGATCCCTCCTACGTAAAGTATTGTATGTCGAAATTGCCAAGCTTACAGGGGAGCGTTTTAAAGTTCTTATTTCAGTGAAATGAGCATAACACGTGACTTTAGCATTTCTCAGTTTTATTCGGCAAAGCTCTTTACTCACACAGAGTATTAGAAAATTCTAGATATCAGTTAGATGGTCTATGATGATCTATTAGATGATCACTCTCTGTGAATAACGAGTGAATTCTGAACTTTATAACGCTCCACTGTAAACTTGGCAATTTCGACATACGATACTTTACGTAGGAGGGGTCGAAATGACGCTGTTCAGCACACGCGATAAACTGACGATATGAAAGATCTAGATTAGAGAGAATCTAGATTCCACACGAGTACGATTAAAAGTGTATTCCATAGCATTTAAGTTTATTTGAAAAGACCAGTCCCTGGAGTTTGTTGCTCGTTCTTCTCAGTGAAGTCAGCATAGTGAATGAGCAATAGCTTAAAAAATGACGATTGAATAAATGGTTATTTGACTTTGATATTGCGTAACATTTTCATTTCTAAATCTTTTCGACCTTCCGTCATATACATATATAATAATATAAATTACTTGTCTAATTACTCGTATTATGCTGAAACTGTAAACGACTGTAATGTAATTTTGTAATTTAATTTTCTCTCGATGATTGTCCAATATAACATGTGACAAATAAACATGTTCAGAAATCTAACCTGAATATTTCTCCACCTTAGCCTTCAAGATCTGGTCTTCAGGGAAAGCGCTGTTGACGTGAACATCGGCGATGTCCACCCGCGTATTGTCGGCGGTGAAGCTTATGCTGATTTTCGAGAATTGACGAAAGTCTGTGCCACTTTTGACTATATATTTGTTGTTCACCTGCGGAAAATAGGACATTATGGAGTATCTGTGGTTATCGTAAGTATAATTTTTGCACAAAAGATGGGTCCAAACGACCAAACGACTATTATTTTTCCAACCAGACCTAATAAATAATATACTAATATACGTTTATTTTCTCCACAAACATAACTGTTGTTTGTAATATAGGATGCCAGGTCTCTCACCTCAGATAACAAGACTCTAAAATAAATGTGTGTGTGTGTGTGTGTGTGTGTGTGTGTGTGTGTGTGTGTGTGTGTGTGTGTGTGT